CAAGGACGGAGCCAAGGGGGGACCTACGGGTGCCACGGCCCCCCCAACAATTTTAATTTTTTTTTATATACATATATATTACTATATGGCACCTCCTATTTTTAATATAAACTCATATGTATAATTAAATGAATAACCCAAATTTATTTTTTTATTCAACTTTTGGACTTCTGGTACGGCCTGCTATGTGGTATCACTTTGGAATTTTTTTTTTTTTAAAAAAATGTAGCGCCTCATTTGATCATTCCAATTCTCGGCCCCCCAGTATTGAAATCCTGGCTCCGTCCCTGACGATAAGGACATTTCTTCTTTGAGTGACCTACATTTCTGCACAGAGAACATTTTCTTGGTTGTCCTGATTCAACCATATCCATTTCAGTGTGTATTCTGGATGACTTTGGACGACCTTTTTTATTTCTAATTTTTTTCAGATTTGGTATGATTTGCGGTTCTTCACAATCCGGCCAATAAGATTCATTAGGCAGTTCACTAAATAATTTGTTATACACATTTGAAACATATTGTTTTGTGTATACCGGATCTATGTAAGATTTATAATCGTGGTGAACATGCTTACATGCAGTAACAACATGGGAGCATGACATGTGTAGCTTTTGGAATTTTCCACAGTCACACCAGTTGTCATGTAGTCTAACCGTGAAAGTTCCAGTAGGTCGTGTTTTCCTTGGGTTAATGGTCTCTTGCATCAGAAAACGTGTATTGACGATCAAATTCGAGGACATGATGACTATTTGCCTTTGATTCTGCATCTCTCATGGCCCTATTCACTATTTCCGTATAAACTTGGTCAGCCCTAAGTTTAGCATCGACTTCCTTCCCCCTTTGGATGAATAAGGCATTACATCTCTTATAAGTCGACATGATGATTGTAGAAATTGACAAATTTCTTATTTTTTTAAGAATGGAGTTAATTGCCTCATCCAAGTTGGTAGTCATGTGTCCCAATCGTCGTCCATCGTCCCATGCAAGAGTCCATTGTTCTTTTGGTATGGTGTTGAGCCATTCAATTACACCTTCAATTTTTGGTTCGCCCCTTAGCGTGTTGTAGTAGTAATTGAATCTTGGCTCAGTCATCCCATAAGCTGTGAAATCAGATTAGGAAAAAATAAACAATTTAGTAATGTTGAAATATGGTGAAACAAATTAAAGTAATTAATGATGCTAAGTAAGTACCCATATTGATGATTAATTTTTTCTGTTCTGTATTCTTGAAATGCCTCATGAAGTTTTGAGCTATATGGCGAATATAGAACACATGCACTGAATTCTCGGGTGTCCAACCACTGCCTTGTCTAGTGTAGGCATTTTTGATAGACTCGTGCCTGTCCGAAATTAAGCAAAGGTCATCTTGAGGGCAAACATGTCTTTTGAGATAATGTAGAAAGAAAAACCATGTTTCTACTGTTTCACCCTCAACAATTGTAAAGGCAATTGGAAAGATTTTGTTGTTACCGTCTTGAGCCACGACCACAAGGAGAGTTCCTTTGTATTTTCCATACAAGAATGTGCCATCAACTTGAACAATGGGTTTGCAGTATTTGAACCGATCGATACAAGGTTTAAATGTCCAAAATACTCTATGGAATTGAACATAATGATGAACCATCTCACCTTGTTGGTTGTATAGTGGCCTTGTTTGCTTCTCAACAACAAATCCATTAAGAAATCCACTCATGGCACTGAGCAACTTGGGTAAATCATGGTAAGATTGTTCCTAGTTACCATGTAAGTCTTCAATTGCCTTTTGTTTTGCCATCCAAGTTTTGCGATATGAGATCGTGTACCCTTCAGCACTTTTGATGTGTGCTATTATTGTTGGAATAGAAATGGATGGATCACTCTCCACCAAAGGAATAATACTTTTGCTAATATATACATAGCCAAGGTTAACATGATCTTGTGTAATAATAGGTGATGAACAAGAATGTTCACCTGATAGCTTACGAAGCTCCCATTTTTGGCTTTTAGTAATAAAAGCTACTATGCACCTCCAATCACATGTACTGTTAACACAGCGTGCAACAATTAATGTTGGTGACGATTTCTCCACCCTGTAATACAAACCTTTCTTTATATGGTATGCATTTAGAACATGTTAGACTTCCTCCTTTGTGTTGAAATTCATGCCTTGAAATAGGCTGTCAAGAGAGTACTCGACGTCAACATGGTCAAGTGCATGTTTATACTCTGGGTTGGTGAAATCTGTTTGCAAATCAACATTATGCATGTGTGAAGGAAAACTGAATGTGCTTACGTGCTGAGATTGTTGTACAAGACGATCTTGTTCATCTTGTTCATCGTCTTGTTGAAGTCTTGCATCATCTTCCCCCTCACTGAAAGGACCAACTTCTTCTTCAGGAACTCCAACTTCAGGGACTCCTTCCTGTTGATCTTCTTCCTAGTACAAAGCATTCATGCCTCTGCACAAAGCATTGATTTTTCTGACGCTCTGGGACAAAGCATTGATGACACTACATCAATGACACACTGCATCAATGACACTCTGCACAAAGCATTCATTTTTCTGACGCTCTGGTACAAAGCATTCATGACTTTGCACAAAGCATTTATTTTTCTGACGCTCTGGGACAAAGCATTGATGACACTGCATCAATGACACTCCGCACAAAGCATTAACTTTTTTGACGCTCTGGTACAAAGCATTCATGCCTCTGCACAAAGCATTGATTTTTCTGACGCTCTGGGACAAAGCATTAATGACACTGCATCAATAACACACTGCATCAACGACACTCTGCACAAAACATTAATTTTTCTGACGCTCTGGTACAAAGCATTCATGACTCTGCATAAAGCATTGATTTATCTGACGCTCTAGGACAAAGCATTGATGACACTACATCAATGAAACACTGCATCAGTGACACTCTGCACAAAACATTAATTTTTCTGACGCTCTAGTACAAAGCATTCATGACTTTGCACAAAGTATTTATTTTTCTGACGCTTTGGGACAAAGCATTGATGACATTGCATCAATGACACACTGCATCAATGACACTCTACACAAAGCATTAACTTTTTTGACACTCTGGTACAAAGCATTCATGCCTCTGCACAAAGCATTGATTTTTCTGACGCTCTGGGACAAAGCATTAATAACACTGCATCAATGACACTCTGCACAAAGCATTAATTTTTCTGATGCTCTGGTACAAAGCATTCATGACTCTGCACAAAGCATTGAATTATCTGACGCTTTAGGACAAAGCATTGATGACACTACATCAATGACACACTGCATCAATGACACTCTGCACAAAACATTAATTTTTCTGACGCTCTGGTACAAAGTATTCATGACTCTGCACAAAGCATTGATTTATCTGACGCTCTAGGACAAAGCATTGATGACATTGCATCAATGACACTCTGCATCAATGACACTCTGCACAAAGCATTAATTTTTCTAACGCTCTCGGACAAAGCATTGATGAGTCTGCATTAACCATTAATTTTTTCCACTATATATGCACTACATACGATCCAACCCTAAACACACAACAAATAAATATTAATTAAAAATTTTAACAAAAGATAAAATATTTATATAAAATACTAGAAAACAAAATACAATATTTGGAAGGTTTGATGACATTTTAAGGTTGATGACTTGAACTTCCTTGACGGTAAGGACATTTTTTCTTTGAGTGACCTACATTTCTGCAGAGAGAACATCTTTTTGGTTGTCCTGGTTCAACCATATCCATTTCAGTGCATATTCTGGATGACTTTGGACGACCTTTTTTATTTCTAATCTTTTCCGGATTTGGTATGATTTGCGGTTCTTCACAATCCGGCCAATAAGATTCATTAGGCAGTTCACCAAATAATTCGTTATACACATTTGAAACATATTGTAATGTGTATACCGGATCTATGTAAGATTTATAATCGTGGTGAACATGCTTACATGCAGCAACAACATGGGAGCATGGCATGTGTAGCTTTTGGAATTTTCCACAGTCACACCAGTTGTCATGTAGTCTAACCGTGAAAGTTCCAGTAGGTCGTGTTTCCCTTGGGTTAATGGTCTCTTGCACCAAAAAACGTGTACTGTGACGATCAAATTCGAGGACATGATGAGTATTAGCCTTTGATTCTGCATCTCTCATGGCCCTATTCATTATTTCCGTATAAACTTGGTCAGCCCTAAGTTTAGCATCGACTTCCTTCCCCCTTTGGATGAATAAGGCATTACATCTCTTATAAGTCGACATGATGATTGCAGAAATTGGCAAATTTCTTGTTTTTTTAAGAATGGAGTTAATTGCCTCAGCCAAGTTAGTAGTCATGTGTCCCCATCGTCGGCCACCGTCCCATGCAAGAGTCCATTGTTCTTTTGGTATGGTGTTGAGCCATTCAATTACACCTTCAGTTTCTGGTTCGCTCCTTAGCGTGTTGTAGTAGTAATTGAATCTTGGCTCAGTCATCCCATAAGCTGTGAAATCAGATTAGGAAAAAATAAACAATTTAGTAATGTTGAAATCAAAACAAATAATGGATGTGCATGATGTCCATAGCAGAGCATCTCTATATGCTTGCATCGATATTGTTGTTTGCAATACTCCATATGGCGCCCATAAAAACTATAAAAAAAATTAAACTTCTTTAGTTAACATATTATGCTAAACTGTTGTAGTAGTAATTGAATCTTGGCTCAGTCATCCCATAAGCTGTGAAATCAGATTAGGAAAAAATAAACAATTTAGTAATGTTGAAATATGGTGAAACAAATTAAAGTAATTAATGATGCTAAGTAAGTACCCATATTGATGATTAATTTTTTCCGTTCTGTATTCTTGAAATGCCTCATGAAGTTTTGAGCTATATGGCGAATACAGAATACATGCACTGAATTCTCAGGTGTCCAACCACTGCCTTGTCTAGCGTAGGCATTTTTGATAGACTCGTGCCTGTCCGAAATTAAGCAAAGGCCATCTTGAGGGCAAACATGTCTTTTGAGATAATGTAGAAAGAAAAA